TAAAGAATACCCATCGGACGAGAACCTACCAGGCCCATCCTGCAAACACCAGGAGATCGGGAAAAGTTCACAGGAAGTGAACACAGAAACGTCACCAGCGGACTAGAACGCGAAGCTGATCGACACACTCCGACAAAGAGAGAGGGCCCGCGCCATCGTCTACAAACAGGTTGAGGTCCTCAATGAAGAGATAGATCAACTCGACGCCAACGAGCAGCCCTCAAAACTCACGAGAACCGTCGAATTCATCACACGTTCTCTGCTGGCGGCAGAGAAACAATGTGAAGATCTGACGAGGGAGATTAAGGATCTTTTGGCGCAAACGGGAGCGGAACGAACCGACACCCCTGACCGACCGTTCAGATACGGAAAGTGCATGGTTCACCTCTGGCGATGCCTGGAAGAATGGGGCGAGTGGGTGGGCTTCGCCACGGCGCAGGTTTCCCGATCCAGGTCGGCATCCTCAACATCCGAAAACCAAGGCATCCAGAGGGAAGAACCACCCGTGCAGAGCACGCCCATAGGGGAACCAAGAGAGACCCCCGACCCCGAGGTCAGATTCAAGCACAGTTTCTTGGACACAAGGAGTATAGAAAGGCAAGGAGAACAGCGGGATCCAGGGAACAGCCCAAGGATCAACAACCGTCCTTCACCTCTCCCGCCAGGCAGAAATCTGTATTTTCCGCCCGAGAAGCCGGTACGACACCCGATCGGTTTCTCAGGAGTAACCAATTTCACTAACAGAAGCAGTCAGGCACAGATACCACCCGTGCTACCGGCTCGGTCGACCACAGGCGCCACAGTAGACCAAAACTCAATCATGGACTTTTCCCAGCTGGAAAGTACATGGCTTGAGCCCAGAACTGCGGAACGCATGAACACGTCGGACAGGTTCTCCTTTGGTCGGAAGGCCCGAGAAGTACCCCGATTCAGCGGAGATACCCGTGAGTTCCGAAAATGGCAGCACCTGTTCAAGGTGCTCGTCGACGACACACCAGCGCCAACGATGGAGAAGTTGCGGCATTCCTTATCGGGGAAAGCACTAGATGCAATCGCCCATCTTCAATGGGAAGAGAAACATTATGCTCTGGCGAAAGAAATCATACACCAACGATTCGATGACAGCAAGCTAGCTCGGAACTCCCACATCAGGGAAATCGACAGACTCCTGGGAAGGGGATTAATCCAGTATCATCGCCTGGAGTCTTTCTCGGAGACTCTGAGCTTGAACGTGAAAGCCCTCTTGGCGCTCGACAATTCTTTCGCAGAACTGTCGACAGCCACAACGCAACGCATTCTGAGATGTTTGCCGACAGACCTGAGAGAAAAGTTCATCAGGAAACTGGCGAAGAGAAAATTGTCGGACCCATTGGTGACAGATTCATGCTTAGAATTCATGCTAGAATTCCTCAACCTCACGGTGAAGGTTCGCAGGGGGGCAGAATCAGAGGGCGGCGGCTCTTCCCAGCGCGATTCGAGAAGACCCACATTAAATCAGGGTAAACCGCCAGCATCGAAGCCACGCCATTTCCAACAACAGGCATATACGCCACACAGGGCAACGCACAATTTCTTCACGAGCGGCCAGAAGCAATTCTCAGGAGACAGTAATCAACACGCCAAAATTGATAAATCGTGCATCTTTTGCGGGGATGACCACGAAAGCTTCAGATGTAGGGCGACACTGACCCTTGAAGAACGCCGAGAGCGAGTGATTCAACAGAAGGCATGCTGGATCTGTTTGAAACGGAACCGCGAAGAGTTGCCGAGACGGACCGAAGAGAAATTGCGCGAAATGCAACGGTCGACACTACGTTATAATGTGTACGAAAGCACAGTTGGATACCGCATCTTTCATGATCTCAACGATTCCAACCACGACTACAACGGTGGCAACTGCGTTCGATGGAAAAGGGAACGTCGCCGAGCCAGAGATACTCCTACCGTTAGCGGTGGTATGGATTGGTACGAAGACTAGGCGAGCTCGAGTCAGAGTGTTGCTCGACTCCGGAGCCCATCGTTCATACATCGTGTCAGAAGCAGCGCAGTACCTACGGGGGCCATCAAAACGGCGATGAAGACCTTGGGGAACGTGATCACAACGATGGACACCTGGCTCCATAGGATCACCATCACGAGTCAGCACGACCCGAGCATCGCGATCGATATCGACTGCATAGGAGCGCCGTCAATCACAGACTCTGAATTCCCGAAGGTGACCGAAGATTTCGGACTGCTCCCCGTAGCGGACAAGATGATGGACGCGAGCTCTCCACGCTCGATATCTCTCATTATCGGGGCAGTGGATCTAGCGAAAATCTATACGGGAAGAATGGAGTCTTTCGGGTGGATGTTGGCGACTTCCTCCATATGGGGTTGGATCTTCAGTGGCCCTCTGGCGGAGTCCTCGCACACGACGCACACTGCAGCATTGCTCTGCGAACTGCGCGCATCGCTACCGACGGTGGTGGATCAGAAAAAAATTGGCGAGTTAACGGCTCCGCTCCAGACGCCTCCCACGCGGAATAGACCCAAGAAACCAAGAGATGTTTCAGTCGACGAGGATCTCAGGTTCCTCTGGGAAGGGGAATTCATGGGATTGGACTCGACTTTGCCGCAGGAGACGGACAAGCTAAACGAAGAGCTGAATGAATTCTTCGAAAGTACAGTGGAACGGAGACCCGACGGTCGTCTCAGGTTGAGCCTCCCGTTCAAGGACAATCTTGACACCCTGGGCGACAATGAAAATCTGGCAAGGTCGAAACTCCTCAATAAGTTGAAGAAATCCCCAACTAAGTTGGCAGCGGTCGACAAAGAGATATCCGATTACTTAGCCAACGGCTTTGCGGAGGAGGCTTCACCGCGCCATCAGGGCCAGCTAGTTCATTACCTCCCACTCCAGGCAGTCTTCAAAATGACCGAGGATGAATCGAAGATAATCAAGACGAGAGTGGTCAAAGACGCAGGGGCGCGCCGAAGCCACGAAGCGGCCCTCAATGATTGCTTACACCAGGGGGAAAACTTGCTTCCGCTGGTCCCGAAAGTCCTGTGCGCTTTCAAAGAAGGCAGGCATGCAATCACAGCAGATATTGAAAAAGCATTTCTGCAGTTCGAGATCAACCCCAGCGATCGCCCATTCCTCCGATTCGTATGGCCGCTCGGTATCGCTGAGCGGCCGGACGCACCGATTCGAGACTTCTGGACAAGAGTGCTAGACTTCGGACTGATATGCTCATTCGGGTTACACATCAAGGGTGTCAAGCACCATCTGACGGAATGCATACGCCAGTTCCCGACAGACGAGAAATTCATACGGGAGATCGCAGACAACTTATACATGGACGACGTCTGTTTTTCGGCAGACTCCCATGTAGACGCCGAGTATAAGATTGCGAGAGCGTTCGAGATGTTCCAGCGGGCACATTTTCCTCTCCGAAAATGGGGCACTAGCGAGGAACGAATCGCAGACGCCATCCGAAGGCACTCCCCGCTGGACAACTCGTCGGTAATGGTGGGGGATGACAACGCGAAGTCCCTCGGAGTCAGATGGTACCTGTCGACGAATCACATCGGAGTCTTCACACAGAAGGCTTTATCGGAGCTTTCGAGGGACAACCCACCGAAATGGAAACTGCTCAAAGGGCTCGCACAGATATAAGACCCCCTCGGAATCATCGCGCCAGTCTCAGTCAAAGTGAAAATTCTGTTCCAATCGCTCTGGAAAGAGGCGATCGACTGGGTCGACATCAAGACTCCGCAGTATCGCATCGAAGCTGGCCTGCCGCGAGAATCGAGACCAGGTAGCGAAGGCTCTCGGCCCTCATCAGCTCGGGTTCGTTCGGAGAGGGAAAGCGGAAGCGGCGATCCACGCTGCGCGGGCGGCCGTTCTGGCTCGTGCTCCCCGAACAGTGTTCCTCGAGCTAGACTTCAGAAACGCGTTCAACTGTTCAAGGAGGGACCACATCAGTGGCGTAGCGAGCCGGAGTGCCGCCCGGGGCGGTGATTCGAAATTTTCGAGACCGTCGTCCGATATGTTCGGCGTGTGATCGACTTCGCTGCGATCAGCGGTCTTGAGCTCAACCCCTCGAAGTGCGAGCTGTTTGCTCCTGAGCTGGCTCTTGATGACCCATCTCTTCAGCATCTGATGGCTCTTCTTCCCGACTGCATCTCTGTCGACGAGTCGTCGCTCACCCTGCTCGGGGCGCCTGTCGCCCGATGCCCGTCAGAGGGCTATCGATTCGTGGACCGATAGGGTATGGTTTAGGCGGGAGCAGCTCCCTCTGCTCGGCGCGCATCAGGGTCTCTTCTTGCTCCGGTCCTCCTTCTCTGACTGTCGCATACAGCATCTCGTCCGGAGCTCTGACTGCTCGGAATCGACTGGCCTCATGCAGCTATGGGATGCTCAGATCATGGAGTCACTCGAGTCTCTGACATACCTCAGGCTCAGCCCTCGAGAATGACGTCAGGCATGCCTCCCGACCGCGACCGAGACCTGCGGTCTCGCTTCGTCGGGCCTGCCCCCGGCGCTTCTATGTTCGCGTCCTCAGATCTGATCAGGGACCTCCTGCTGCCGGGTACATGGTCGTCGTTCGTCGCGAAAAGGGAAGCTCTCGCTGCGAGGCTGTCCGCTTTCGCACCCGACGCCGCTGACTTCCACTCCCAGCGGCAAAATTCCACGAGGCATCCTACGACGCCCTGCTCAGTGAGGCCTCGGATGTGCAGGACCGTGCCCGGTTGCTCGCGGTGTCACGCCCAAGCGCCGGCGAGTGGCTGCACGCGATCCCGGCTGACTCCCTAGGCACAAGATTCGACGACTGCTCTGCCAGGATTTGTGTCGGCCTCCGACTTGGCGCGAACTTGATCGAGCCACACCGCTGCCCCTGCGGGGACCCCGTGGGAAGCCAGGCCCATCATGGCCTCTCCTGTGCGTTGTCCGCGAGCCGCCGTCCTCGTCCCGCGGCTCTAAACGACACTTAGACGACACGCTTGCCTTCGGAACAATGGGAGGGCCCGGTCCCTTGACCTTGGCTCTGATCACCCAGGTCGGTGAGGCTCTGGAGAGGGCCGCCGCGGACAAGCGACTGGGCCGATTCCTTGCCCAGAGATTGTCGCTCGATGTCCAACGCGGAAACGCCGCGTCGGTGCTAGGCACCATGAGCAGCTGGCGCCGGCCGGCCTGGTGGGAGGACTAGACTCGACAACGCACAATCTATATATATATAACGAAATAGATCGCAGATTGCACTCAAACTTCACACATTTCACGTTCTAGATCTTCGTATGGTACGTATGGCACGATATCGCTCAACACCGAATTGAGCCCGGGAGCTCTGGACGTTTCAGCCCCAACCGTCCCCACACGTCAACTCAAACCGACGACCGGCCACGAAAAACTTGCGCATGCGGAGCTCTTACGCAATTGCTGCGGGCGTACATCGAGTTGAACCGAACAACCGTGAAGCAAACTCTGATATCGTATCTGAAGAAAGAGCTCTGCCGTGGCATTAATCATGCTTTCAACGGCTATGCCGATTTACGTTTGATACATTTCCCCATGGGCTCCGAAGTTCCGAATATACTGTCCATGAGAAGGGTTCCCGACGAAGAGCTTTGTGTCGCGATAGAAGCCGAGTACTCCGGCTCTGTCCGTCTCTGGGTCCGATTGAGCCTACCGATTGTCGAGAGGAATTTCAACGTGGAGACAAAAGTGACGTTCGAGGTTATCGTTGAGAAATTTACCGCGAACGTGTTGCTGACGCTATCCACGAATCCCTATCCGCACTTGCGCGTAAGTTTGACAAATATGCCTCGCTGGTTCATCCGAAAGAAAATTTCCACGCCGAATAACCGCGAGGTTCGTTCCAAGCTCCTCAGTTGGATAGTTGATTTCGCCCTGTCGTCGACGATACGATCGGAGCTCATATTTCCGACATACATGATGAACGATAAACTCTCCCCTGGGAGTGGTCGATGCTACAGAAGCAGGAAGCCGTATATCAAGAGAGGTTGTATCTCGAACTGACTTTCGAAAGTTTGGCTCGACCCGTGCAGGAGGGGAAGATGTATCTCATCGCTACAGTCGAGCCGACTCCTTGGATACACATGGACCTCGTAAATTTGACCCCGACCGCGTATTTCGATCTCGAGATCAAGAGGAAAACCTCCTTCTATCCCGGTCTGATTCTCACCGAGCAGAAGCGGATTGAGTTATCCAAAGAAATTTCTCGCTCCGAAATCATCGTGAGTTCAATTCTTCCCGATAGCGCGGCCAAGGACGCGCTCTTCCTCGAGGGAGATGTCATCCTCGCCAGGGAGAATGTCGAAGTGAGCAGTGCTCAACAAGCGGTCGAATTGTTGGACGCCGCGAGAGAGAAAGCGTTCGTCCGGGTGCGGAGAGTTGTCCAATACAAGTGGTCACGTTCAAAGCACAGAATGATACCCGCGGTCGAATGGCTCTCGAGCTCCGATGTCCGGGACTTCTTCGCTTATCCGCAGAGCCGATGTACGAAAAAAAAATTTTGATTCGGAGTAGGGCACTCCGAGTGAGATCATAAAGAACGCCATCGCGAACGGCTGCCAATTCATGCGAACGAAGCAGTTCGAGCCTCCAGCTGGTATCCGACGGACAATAAGAATACCATCATCGAAGAAGAACATGTACATAAGTTTTGGCATCTGGTCAGGAGGCGACGATCTTTTGGGCTACGGGTCGATGCTGCTGAACTCGTGCGTGGGGCACTGTCAAGAGACGTCCGGCCCGATGCTCCTGCGTTTGCCTCTGGGACATCCAGACGACATGAGAGCTTGTGAATTACCGCGTCGTTCTCATCCGTTCCGGTACGTTCCAGGTTTCAATGTGAGGCTCACTCACGGCTAGATATTATTGAACTTACCTATCAAAATTACTGCGTATTGAAGCGAAAGATGCGTTATTGCGATTTGGTGCTACAAATTTGCCATGAAGAAGCAGCAAAGTAGTTTCTCCAAGATGCCGGGATTATTCCAAGACAAAGATTCTGTTCTGAGGGACATTTCATGCTTTTCGAGCCGCAAGCAGCTCGATACAGGTGCCGTAAAGGCGATTGCGACGTAAAGATCGGCTTGAGGCAGCATACATGGTTGAGCCAGACACGCTTGCCTCTTGAAACAGTTAAGCTCTACTTGCACATGTGGGCTCGCGGCAGAACTTCCCGAAAAGACGTCGAGGAGGAGCTCGGAATCGCAAGCAAAGCTATGGGATCTAGGAACTCCGCTCTGAGAGATATCGTGGTTAAGGGGTCGGCCTCACCGTGGAGATAGATGAAACCCTGTTCTCCAAACGAAAATACCAAGGTGGGAGGATCCTCCCAGCTCAATGGGTTTTCGGAGGCATCTGTCGGGAGACTCGGGAAGCTTTCATGGTCACAGTACCCGATCGAACAGCTCCCGCTCTGAAAGCAGCCATGCGGAAGCACTGGATAGCATGCAAGAATGAGTACGGAAACATAATCTGGATGAAGATCCGCTGCGTAAGGATTCGGCGCCGCGCCGATATTTGCAATATTTCGACCCAATCCTCGTGATAATCCGATGCCTACCAGCCCCGCAAAAGCGGGGTACATTCCGCTGCATGGAGGACGAAGTTTCTTTGACCGGCTACTAGAGACATTTTAAAGACGTTTTCACGTCAAAAGTGGTGAAATCTGGGAAAGTCTCCCGTCGACACACGACTGTGAATTGGGGGAGTTGATGGAAAATGAATGCTGTCATTTGAATTCTCAGCCGAATGCGACGGTTCTTCGCCCGCGGAGACTCTCTACCTTTGATGCTCATTTAAGAGTATGTTACGGAGAGTCAACATGACGCTCTGTTCCTAGCTGACTGTCGGAACTATGACACGAAGCCGAGTTCAAGCTCAAATACGAAAGCGAACGGAAAAGCGACCACTCGGCGTGGACTGTAAGGAACGATGCCTACCACAGTGTATTGTGAAGAGATCAAATAAAGGGACTGATACGATCACGACAGCAACCAAGGTATGATAGCTGGGAAGTCTCATGAGAGAGAAGTATAATCCCCCTATCTCCCTATCCCCCTACTAATGAAGCGCGACTGTCCGTGACCGCAAATGTCTTCAGAAACTCTTGAAATTCTCCTCAGAGCATCGGTAGTTGACGTGGAGTCTGGGCAACGTGCTCAGGTTGAGCATCTCATCCCGCATTCGCCGAAATGACCCACCCGCGGGGATCTGCCTCGCCTCTCGCGCTGCCTTCCAGTTGTATCACTTCGCCCGTCGCGGCCGCTCGCCTGGCATCCCCAAACGTTCCCGGGGTCCAGATAACGCGCTCTCGACAACGAAGTCCCATCCGTACATTCCCGATCCCGATGGATCCGTGTGTCTGAAATACGATCGATCCGACTTTCCGAAAATGGCAGGGGGACCTGAGATATGACTCCTCTCTACTGTCGGGTCTGTCTACTAATTGAGCGCTATCGGAAGCAGGCCCGGTCCATCGGCAGCGAGGATATTCCGACTAATTTGAGCAATCGATTAATACTTCCTTCATGAGATATTCATTATGACACTCGGAGTTAGTGTCGTCGTGAAGTTACTGACGCCTGAATTGAGGCGCGGCCGCAGGCCGGGCTCCCCAGGCTGGTACTGGAATAAAGAGCGCCCCAGTCAGGGGGAGAAGTTTGTAAGGCAAAGAAACTCTACTCGGCTTGTTTGAGCCGCCCATAGCCCACTCCGTGCGTGCGAGTTAGTCACGTTAAAATCCCACGAGTCTCCTGAGCTAGTAGCATAAATCCCCAGTCTCCCCTTCACTCTACAAATAAAGGCATCGCGGTGGCCTTCTAGCACATAGCAAAACAACGATGGCTGACCTCCCTGCTGTCTTGATGAGGTTGTTATCACAATCGGAATAATTTTCGTCCTAGCCATGAAATATCGAATGTATCTACAGTGCGTTCTAAACTGTGTCTCTCATTCATGTCTTTTTTCACCAATATGAGTATTTTCTAACAATTAGACCACGAGGCGGTATTTTGCTCCGTTCGTTTCTCTTGAACAAACTCCGCAGAGAGCGATGGATACATTTCCAAATCCAAAAGCACTTCTCCATCCTGAACTTAAGTCTCCCGTCGACGGATTCCATATGTGAGTAACTTTACCGCGTGTTCTTCCTGCGCTCATTCTCTCATAGACTGATTCTCTCACCTTCTTACTTATAATTTGAATTTTCCTTTGCTGTTTATGCGAAGGCCGCCCAGGAGCGCTTCGTTGGGAAGGTTGTTGCTGGTATCGACAATGTGTCGGTCCGGCAAACCGCTGTTCTGGTTCCCGGCGTAGCGCCTGTCCCCTCCGTCTCCGTGGACGGCGTCCGGCCCTCCTTCGCCTCGGTTGTCGGCAAGCCTGAGACGATTGCGCTCGTTCGGTCCACTGAAGAGGGTGAGCGTATTGTATGCTACCTGCCTAAACCGTCGCACAGTGGTCAAAAATCAATTCCTAGGTGGACAAAATTATTTCGATGGTTTTTTCGATAGAGTTCCGTTTCCCGAATGAGGCCTGAGACTCGGAAAGGGTTTCCGGCCTCCAGCTCGCCCGCGGAGACGATATTTGAGGTCTTGAGGTCGTTGTTCATTGAAATATCCCACCAACTTTATGCATGCAGATTTGAGAGAGACGAATGCTCCACGACTTGTTTCCTGCTTGACTTCCAACTTCCTACAGAAGTGGAGACCGCGCCAGCTTGCCCGTGAGTCAGACTCGGTACATCGTCTGCTGGCGCTCAAGAGATCGCTTTTCGGCGGTAATACTGGAAACGAGCTGTTGGATGTCGGATCGCCGAGATGACTCGCTTCGCCC